CCTACGCCCTACTGCATAGTCCCACACAGTCATTTTGGTGACAGTTTCAGAGCCATGCATAGAGGACCCCTAAAAAGACATTTCATCTCCCCACCACTTGCCATTGGGATCTGTTCTGCTCTGAGAAGGTGAGCTTATACGGACATGACACCAGAGAGGGTTTGCACCGTGTCACTCCATTGTTCCGTAGCTCCAGCCACTTTCTGTCACCCTGGGACAAGGTCAGGTTCTTGCTTTTTGAGTTCAAGTTGTCGATGTGACCTTGAAAGTCCTCGATTTTCATCCAGGATGAAGAGAGTGTCCACTGGGACCTGTCCCTGTCCCCACAAGCAGGGAGAGAGGGTGAAAAGTAAATGGGTCTCCATAGCAGTGTGTGTGGGGACGCAAGGGGACTGTGAGAACACAGAGTAAATGGAGTAATCTTTCTTGTGTGGCACTTGCTGCTGAGCCAAGGTGTCCTTAGGAGTGAAGTACATGGGAAACTATGAAACATTTATGTGATCCATATGGTGAACAGCACTTCGACTCAAATACCAGAAAAGAATGCCCTTGGCCTTTTTGGGCTCTTCATGCCTTTTGATCAACAGGTAAAGGAGGGTGTCACTGTACTGAGTGGTGTCATTGATGCTGATTACCAAGGAGAAATTGGACTGGTGCTGCCTAATGGAGGTAAAGAAGAATATGTATTTGAAATCCAAGAGATCCCTTATGCCGTCTCTTAGTACTACCATGTCCTGTGATTAGAGTAAATGATAAAATACAGCAACCCAATCCTGACAGGACATCTAATGCACCAGACCCCTCAGGAAAGAAGGTCTGGGTGACCCCACTAGGCAAAAACCACAGCCAGCTGAGGTGCTGGCCGAGGGCAAAAGGAATACAGAATAGGTAGTTGAAGAAGGTAGTTCTACCCTACCTATCAGTTATATCCACCTGATCAATTTTAAAAGCGAGGTTTGTGATTGTTAGTACTTCTCCTTTATATGTGCTTATTGAATATCTTTCCTTTGTTTGTTTACTATACACCAGATATGGATAGATTCATTATACTTTCATTTATATGGATGATAGATGTATGATGCGAGGTGTAAGTGTGATTTCATTAATGTCTGGACATTATATTGTGTGCAATCTAATTGTGTACAAGTATCAAGTTTGCAAGGGGTAGACTGTGATAGTTAGGTTTATTTTGCCAACTAGCTCAATAGAAACATGTGGGTGGAGATTAATCAGACTGCAGCTTGATTGGAGGGCAATGAGATAAATGACTCTGCAAAGCCTGCCCCCTCTCTCTTGCTCCCTGGTGATT